ATTATATTCTACTATAGAATGTCAAATTAACTTATAAGTGATTAACTTGAATATTTGAGATTTTCAAGAAAGTATGGAAGGTGTAGCCTGGTTTCCTCTTGCCGCTTATAGTAAAAAGCTAGGTGAAAGAGATACACTGAGGAAGGAACTATTAAGCCATAAGGAGCCAAAACTTGATAGCTAGAAAAATTCTCAGTAAGTCCATATGGCAAAGATATTAAGACATGCACTGAAGAGATAATGTTTGGAACCCTTCAGGATGTTGATACTTAGAAGAGATTTTGTATTAAGAACTAATGGTGGAATGGGTTAAAAGTTTTGGGATGTTGGGAAAGATATGAATTTTTGAAAATTTAAAATGTAGACTGTATTGCATTAAATATTATTCTCCCCAAAATTTGTGTCCACTTGGAGTCTGTGAAAGTGACATTATTTGAATCTTTGTGTATGTAATTAAATTAAGAAGAGGTCATAGTGGGTTAGGGTAGGCTCCAAGTCCCTTGATGGTGTTTTATAAGAATATGTGAAGACACACAAGGAGAACATCTTGTGACAGTGGAGACAGAGATCAAAAAGATGCAGCTATAAGCCAAGAAATGCTGACAAGATCAGACACCAGGAAAAAGAAAAAAAAAAAAAAAAGATTCTTTAGAGGGAGCATAGACCTGTGACACTTGATTTCAGATTTCAAAATTCCAGAACTGTGAAAGGACAATTTTCTGTTTTTTAATCCATGCGGTTTGTGATACTTTGCTATATGGGAGCCCTAGTAAACTAATACACTGACTTCATGACTTAAAAATGAATGAATGAATAAATGAATAAACAAACAAATTAATTAAATAGTTGAAAATTTTACATTATTTTCTTTTCTCATTGAATATATATTTGCAGTCTACTTCTACTGAATTTATTCTTTTTTTTTATTTTTTTGAGTTGGAGTCTCACTCTGTCACCCAGACTGGAGTGCAGTGGCCGCTCCTGGCCACTGCAGCCTCGACCTGCTGGGCTCCAGCGATCCTTTCGCCTCAGCCTTCCGAGTAGCTGGAATTACAGGCACGCACTACCACATCCGGCTGATTTTTTTTATTCATTATAGAGATGAGGTCTCACCAATTTGCCCAGGCGGGTCTTGAACTTGCAGGCTCAGGCAATCCACTCACCTCAGCCTCCCAAAGCGCGGGATTACAGGCTGAGCCACCGAGCCCGGCTTACTGAATTTATTCTAACAAAATGTATTTTTATTTGTGAAAGCCTTTTTTTGATCACTTTATTTTTCTGAAACAAATAAAAATGTATATAAACCAAAAATTTCTTTTCAAAATTTTTGCTGACATTGAGGTTTCAGGTTAAAATTCACATTGAAATACAGTAATTTCTTAACATCTGTGATTTTCACATCTGTGGATTCAAGCAACTGCAGATCAAAAATACAGTATTTGTGGCATTACATCCATGGAGATGAAGACCAACTTTTGTCACACTCAGGTTCTGCAGAGCTGACTGTGGAACTTGAGCATCCATGGATTTCAGTACCTGCAGAGATCCTGGAATGAATTCCCTGCAGATACCAAGGATTAGTTATTTGGATTGGTGTGTACTGGATTAGTTTTTTGGATACTTGTACTGTATTATAAATATAGTTACTGTACTGTGTTATAATACCTGTCCTGTACTGTAAGTGCATCATCCAAATTACACAAATATGTGTAAAATATTAAAATGTATAAGAAGTAAACATTTTGTTGGTATGACAATTCCTAGATTTACCAGATTATGAAAATTCTTTTTTTTTAATGAAAACACTAAGAGACTGTCTTAGTCTGTGTGAGCTGCTATAACAGAGGTATCATACACTGAGTGAGTTATAAACAACAGATATTTATTTCTCACAACTCAGAAGTCTAAAAAGTTCAAGACTAACTCACCAGCAGATTTAATGTTTGGTGAAGGCTCATTTATCATAGATGGTGACTCATGTAGTAGAAGAGACTCTTTGCTGTCTCTCAGGGCACTAATCCCATTGATGAGGGCGTCCCTCTTATAATCTAATCACCTCCCAAGAGGCCCCACCTCCTAATACCACTCATTGCCTTGGGGATTAGAATTTCAACATATAAAGTTTGAGGGCACACAGACATTTAGATCATAGCAGAGACCTTGTTTACATAAATAAATGGCAAGAAATGGAAGTTTACTCCTCAATTCTTCAAATTCATGTTGTTTGTACTACAGCATTTACATAGTTGCTTATTTAAAATTTATTTGGAAATAAATACCAAATTTATTTCATAACTTGATTAGATTCTTCTTTAATTTTGTTGGTGTCAAAGAATTGAAAATGCCTGGCTGGGAAAGAGACTTTTTATCCATTCATAAAAGTTGTTCACTTTCTCAATTTGGGGGAAGTATAAAAAATAAATAAATAGAAACACAGAGAATTTAACAAGACTCTATCAAATGATATTATAACACATTATGCTGAGAAAGGATTGAGGAAATATTAATAATAACTGCCAATACAATATTATGTCATGAAAGTCTTTAAGTAGTTTTTAAACTATTTTTAAATATATGAAAAATAGCACTAATTAATCTAATTAGCACACGCTATCTTCATTTTCTAACAAATCAGCTAAATCCTGCTCAATTACGTTAATAAGTCTACCTTTAAGTTTAATTTAAAATAAATGTGTTATTGTGTGTATTTCAGTCATCTCACTTCAGCATTGGTCAGACTGGTCGATGGATAGATAGAGAAGGTATGCATCCTGCTATGAAGTTTTGCTTGGTGGAATAAGGTGAAACTACCTTCAGTATTTTGTATAGATGCTCTTTTCGCTTTGATCTCATATCACTTATTTTTAGGAATTATGTATTCATTGGCAAGAGTTGGGAGAGATAGAAAAAGTGAGATAATTAAATAAAATCTATTATTACTTCTGCAAAATACCTGAAATCAGAACATCCTATCACTAACTAGAATACTTTATTTCTACTGCCCAATTTACCCCTTATCAGGAGATTTATATTTTTATATATCTGCTCCTCCCTCCAAATCCTTTTGTATAACAAGTTTTCTTTCAACTATAAATCTTAGTTAAAGTTAGGTTAGAAGACCCACTAGATATTTTTAAAATTTTAAGTGGGTAATATTTATTTATGTGATGAACACAAAGCTGCTTATTATATTTTGAGACCTTTCCTATTGGTAAAAATTGCATACTGAAAGTTTACCATCTTAACAATTTTTAAGTGCACAGTTCAGTAATGTTAAGTATATTCACATTGTTTTGCAACACATCTCCAGAACTTTTTATTTTTCAAAGTTGAAACTCTATACCTATTCAACAACTCCCCATTTTTCCCTATAGCCCCCGGCAAACACAATTCTACCTTCTCTATCTATAAATTTCATTACTTCAGACATTTCATATAAGTGAAATTATACAGTATTTGTTGTTTTTTAACAAGTTTACTTCACTTAGCATATTGTCCTCAAAGTTATTTCATGCTGTAGCACATGACAGCACTTTCCTCCTTTATAAGGCTGAATCATATTTTATTGTGTGTGTATGTGCAACACTTTAAAAAAAATTCATTTATCAGTAGATGCTTTAGTGCTTCTGCCTCTTGGTTGTTTGATGATAATGTTGCTATAAACACAATGTGCACGTCTCTTCAAGATCCCGCTTTTAACTCTTTTGAATATCTACTCAGAGGTGAGATTGCTAGATCATATGGCAATTCTCTTTTTTTAAAGTTTTAAGAAATCTCCTCACTGTTTTCCATAGCTACTGTACCATTTTCTACTCCTTCTAAACTGTTAAGAGTTCCAATTTCTCCACATTTGCCAACACGTGTCCTTTTCTATTCTTTGTTTTAATAGTAACCATCCTGATTGGTGTGCAGTTTTACAGTATGCAATATATAGTCAATGCATTATTTATCATTCTTAGTATCTTATTGAAAAATTGAACTTCGGAACTAATTATATAATTTGTGAATTGTATGTGCTACTCATAAAAATATGATTGCAGCTGTAATGGACAAAGTTAGAAGCAGAATGACTTTAAAAGACATAAAACAGGGAAAGTACTTCCAAGAGTTTTCAAAACTCTAATTCATTACTGTGGTGTGAATTTTAGTAGAATTACTTTCTTTAATGTTTACAAAGCACTTCATCTGTGACAATGACTTTTCTAAATGCTTTTCAAGTACTAAGTCTTCTATCATACTAACTGTCCTATGATACAGATATTATGCTCATTTTACACAAGGGTAATTGTGTAAGAGAGTAATTAGCGACTAAATTACAGAGCAAGGATTAATTTATTACTAACTAAAATTAATTTTTAAAAACCAAGGGTATTTTAAACTCTATTTTGTTATTTTCAAGAGATTCTGCCTAGTTTTACTGGTGACTATTTCCACTTCTTAAACATGTTCTTAAATTGTCAAGTTCCTCTGTCTGAGATTAGGCCTACTCAGGAAAGGTATAATTGAGGATTGGAGTTCTGTTAGCCCAAGTGGCAGGAACAAAATAAAGTCAAGAGTACATGGTTTGACAAGAGAGTGCGATATAAAGCTATACATAGGGAAATACAGAGATGTGAGTGAACTTGAAGGGCCAACGAGGTAAAGGGTAATGGAAGTGGATGGGAAGGTAAGAGACTGGAGTCAGGAAGTCAAGATATGTTAATTTATAGTTTTTAGGTGTTCATTAGAATGTCTATGTTAATAAGAAGAAAAAAAACCACTTTGAATCAAGAAAGCCTAGTTATTGAGTTAATTCATGTTTTTTGGACTGACTTGAATAAGACAAAGTTTTAGAATGAAAGTCTAAGATGTAACTTAAGATATATTGAAAGATTTCCCAGTTTATTTGTATAGAATTATCAAATTTAACATTTCAAACAGGGATATTTTATCTTGCATGGACTTTAATTAAAGTATATCGTCATTTAAATTCAAATGAATATCATCAATAAAATAAAAGTGTGAAATCTAGTCCTATAAACAAGAAAGTTCCATGACTACTCATTTGTACTCTTGTTTTAAAAAGAAGTCCTTGGTGAATAAGGCAAAGCCTACTGCCAATGCTCTGAGGCAAGGTAAGTTTATTTTTTTATATCAACTTTCATGTTCACACACTTTTCAAAAAAGAAGTCATAATATAATATAATGTTATCTTCCTAATTTCCCATAAAAAGATTAACATTGGCATACACTTTAGACTTTTCTGGTTCTAAGCTATTTCTTCAAAGTTTATTATTTTTCTTTGACTAAACCTGCTAAGATCTTTTCAAGTGCTATTTTGTTTTGAGATTAGAGGGCACAGATATTTAAGAGACCATTCATTTTTTGTTGGATTTAAAGATTTAAAGCGTACATTGACATTGAAAGTTTAAGATATTTTAAATTTAATACCTACAGTTATATAACTGTTTATTGAATAAATCTTTGACCCAAGATCATCTTCTATGGATGTTCTGTTGTTGTTACCGTTCACCTGTAGAGGTCACTGTTAACAGACGAATGAGATGTCTTGAAATTACAGGCTAATATAGCTAAATTTTAATTTCTATCTGCCTCATATCACTAGAAAGATTATAGTACTACCTGGTATTAAAACATTATAGAAATGTAACATAACTCTAAAATCATAATTTTTAGATAATAAAATGATAAAAGCAGATATTACTACTTGAGTGTATTAACCAAACCATAATTTCTCAAACTAAGCAAGTTGACAGATGAGAGACCCCACTAAATTGAACTCTAATCATTCTTTATTTAATTTTCTTCTCTAATACTGAATATAAGAATCTATGAAATAGAGTCCAAAGGAAATCAGACTTTGTTTGAATTCTCGGAATATGAACTATATCTTAGAAAGTGTGAATTTTACCCATAAGGAAAAAAAAAACTGAGGAGAGAACACTAATAAAAAGTGATATAAAGTAATAGTCTTTAATGTCCCTTCAGATAGCAACCAGGTGGGTATAGGTAGGAAAGAGAGCAGGTCTGTTTAGTAGAGAAACCATCCTTACCATGGATGCCAGTAAAATGCCCTCAAAATGAAGGGAATCTGTCATTTTGTGTAAATTCTCTTCTGCTTCCATAAACACAGCCGTAATCAATTAAAGACTCACTTGTGAAGGAGCCATTGTTTGCAGTTCCATTCAGACATTGCTGACTTGTCTTTTAGACTGCTTGTGCGGAAGCCCTGGTAAGGTGATGAGAAAGTTCAAAGCACCTAACTTTTCAATGTGGATTTTGTTCTTGAGACTTCATTTTATCTTTTTATTTATTTAAAAAATGGAATGTGGTATATGCATTGATTTTTGGTTCGGGGGAAGGGGAGGCTTAAGAACGTAACAAATGTGTGAAAATGCTCTAAAGATATAATTCCATGTGACTTTCAAATAATAATGCCTTATATGTGAGTTTAAGAGGAATTGGTGTTGAAAATACTTGCTAAGATAATAAGTAATATTGCTTTATCAAAAGTCTTTTGGTAGAAAGTGAGAGTGTTTTATCCCACACCGATGAATCATTCATTAATTTTTGCCATGATTGTTGTTTTATTTTTGTTCTTAGCCTCCTTTTTAGGCTCCTAATTTGAATGAGACCGTGTTATTGGCACTGAAGTGGTCAATGCTCGATCTAGGTTGCTGGATTTGGGAGGCTGATAGAGCTTTACTAAAGGGAGAGATGGAAAAATGTTTTCAGATAGAACTTGGCATAAATGATTCAAAGAATTAAAAGATAATGAATCAACATTAAATATTTGATGCTATTGATATGTACTATAAACTAAGTGAACAAATTCTCCTCCTAGACATGAGGAATAAAAGTTATTCAGTAATGAAAGTAAACCCACAGAGACACTTCTAGGCAGAAATGGGCCAAATTTCTTCCCTGACTGCCTACAAAATAATCTAGGGTAAGCCAGTAGGAAGCCCCGTTCCCCCATAGCCGAATATTCAAGCTAAATATAAAAATTTTTGGAATGGAAATTAAGGAAAGAAGTGATCCAACAAGAATATGTTTTCTAATACTCCTTTGCTTTTCTAGTTCAATGAAAAGAACCACTTTCTTTGGGACTACAGTTTAACAAAACTGCTGTGCCTTGTTGCTGTTATCCAAGTACACCGGCCTCTCTCCCTCTGCCTTGACTGACATGTCTGGGGAGGTTACAAGGAAGAGCCTTACTGCCCAGACCAGCCACTGTACAGATGACTCAGGACACCTTCACTAAAACCCATTCATTCCCTGGGTCCTGGTGGGAGTTACCAGCAAAGCCTGCCAATTAGATGTTGGTAATGTGGACTCTGCTTTAGGGAATTGGGTACGACTGCCAGAATTCATTCCTGAACTTCAGCAGCCACAAAAGAGTATTTTTCTGTCGTCTGAAACGGATTCAAAACCAGGTCCCAAAAGGACAGGCTTCCTTTTGTGCCCCATCTATCCTCAAGTCCAATGACTAATAATGTCACAACATCAGGTTTTTCACAAGATTGCAGGAAACACTGGACCAAGAAGGGAAGGGAAAAAAAGTCATCTTTTGAGTTGATTACCTTTTGTTTCACTCTTTTTTTCTAATTTTTGAACATTCTCCTTGTATCATAATTACATGGTGGTTCTCCTCAAATTAATGGAGTTTTATTGTTAAATGAGAGATTAAATCTGTGACGTACCAGAATTATGAAAAAGCTCTTCAAAATCTTTAGATGTTGACTATAGTAATTAATGTCAGTTCATATTTAAGACTGCTTGTCCTTGCCTTGAAAAAAATATTTCCAAAATCCTATTTTAAAGTTGTATTGGCCTCACTACTTCCTTCTCTGCTAATAAACACACATAAGTGTAAATACTTCACTTTCAAGTTCATTGACATTGTCATTGCTTTTTTTTTTTTTTTCTTTTTTCTTTTCACATTTTAGTCCATCTGAATGCTTGGGTGATGTTTTGAAATTGTTGAGAGCCAAAGGTAGATTTTCTTAATAAGGATTCTGTGAGCTTAAATGTCTTATTAGTAGAATGAACAAATCTTGGAAAATTTCCAAGTCATTTTGCAGAAAATGTGAGAGAACTCCAAACAGTAGGAACTTTAGACAGTAAAACCGCTAGTCAGTCCCTGTAGACTGACAAGAAAGGTTTGAGTCTGTGCCTCTGTATCAAGGTGCTTTTTTTCTTTTTTCCTTTCTAAAGCAATGCATTCTTTTGGTTTCTAGTCCTAATTTTACTTTAAAAATTATTTTGAATGTGCTTCAGACAGGGGCTTTCTGTCCAGATCTTGAATGCAAGTACTATATTTTTGTTGTGTATTCTTGAACAAATATGTTTTATTGGGAACCTATTTCAAAATGCTTGTTAAACATACGGGCTTATTCACATAAATGCACTCAAGTGCTGTAAATGTAGGAGCAGAGGTTGGAACAGAGGAACCTATGTCTTCTCATGGCTGCAACTCCCTGCCTGTGCACACGCTGCATTGAACACATACTTCTTTCTGTGACATGCAAGCGCGCGCACACACATGCACACACACACATACACACACACACTCACACACACACCCCGCTGTGATTCAAGGGGGAAAAAAACACATTAGTCATAAAATTTAGGAGTTGAAAGTAAGCAGGCAAGGCCAGGATAGTAACTGTTCAGGACTTGAATGAATTGCCACAGTTTTCACCAAGTAACTGGCTGGCCTTCTCAGGCAGGCTCCAAATTCCTGTTGAAATGAAGACTTTCTTTCCTGGACTAGGACTGGCATTCCTGGGAAACAATGGCCCTTTTCAAATAGGCTCTGAAATTTCACAGGTGAAGGGAGAGGGGCAGTCATTTGATCCCACCCACAAGAAGCCTGTTAGTATTTTAAAAAGTGAAGACAGAGTCTATCATGGAAATGCAGGCAGAGCTGGCGAGTGGCTGAGAGCTGCAATCTAGACCCATGGTCCCACCGATCCATGTGAAATACGAATCAGTTGCAGTTCTCTGTCTCTGACTCACATTGCAACTCCTTTTTCTAGACTTTCCTGAAGAACAGACTACAGAACCACTGAAACAGGGCTTTACTTTGTATCCTGTGTTATGGAAGAGTCGTATTCAAGTTTTCTTTCATTAGGACTCGACATTAGAATCTACAAAATAAGGGAAACATCTGCTGGTGTGTGTGTGTGTGTGTGTGTGTGTGTGTGTGTGTGTGTGTGTGAGAGAGAGAGAGAGAGAATATATAAATATATATGTATTTGGTATGAAAAGATACAAGGTAAAAAATATTAGAGATATATATATACAATATATAGTTGCATATGTGACCTAATCATTTTACCTTGCACCCTTCCAGATTATTTAACTTGAGTCTAATTATATTATAATTCAGTAATTTAAAGATTTTAACAATGCTCAGATAATTTAAGGAGTCCTTTATGAAAATGTAGTCTATGTTCAGTTTTAAAGAATTTGAGCATATTGTTCATACTAATGTTGCAATTAATATCAGATGTATCTCATAGACTGATGGGAACTTTTGAGAATAAATTTAGGAATATTTTTAGAAGTTTTATTTGTTTTTTGTTTGTTATAAGTTGAGGTCTGGTGGTATGATCACAGCTCATGACACCCTTGAACTCTGTTGCTAAAGGGATCCACCCTTCTCCACATTTCAAGTAGATAGGACTACAGGCGCACACCACCATGCTTGGGTAATTGTTAAATTTTTTGTAGAGATTAGGTCTCCATATGTTTCCTAGGCTGGTTTCAAATGCCTGGACTCAGGCAATCCTCCAACCTCAACCTCCCAAAGTGCTGGTATTACAGACATGAGTCACCATGTTCAGCCTGGAACTTTAATTTGATCAGATCTCTCAGGGATTGAATGAGATAAACTGTGGGTTTCAGCGTTCTGTTTCATGTATGAGAAAACCAATGAAAGTTCAGATTGTGATATTTATCATTGATAAAACAGACAGAACCTATTAGGCACACCTTTCTGCCAAAGATTGAATCTTTTCTCTGAGTCTTCCCAATAATCCTGATGATTGCCCCAAGATTGGAGATTGATGACACACCCAATATTTAGCTTAGTCCTAACTTGAAGATTTATTTTAGATGCAGATTAATGAAGACACAGAAAGCACTTGTTTTTTTCTTAATAGCAAAAGATGTATGAAGCTAGATATATAAACCTCTAAATATATAAACCTCTCGAAGAGGTTTACTATATGCTCTAAATATATAAACTTCTTTAAGAAACATATTTGCCTAATAATTTTGTAGCAGTATAATATTTTGAAATGCTTTCCCTGCCATTTTGGTTACTACATGTTATTCTTTTTCCTACCCCCTTTCTTCACTAGCCTAGACCAATTCTAACAGTCAGCATCAGCAGGGTATTCTGAGCTTATGTCTTGGAAAAGAAATGAAGTAGTAGAACAACAATAAAATCAAATTATTATTTTCTTAAGTGTCAAAACAAACATGCAAAAAGTAAAAAAAATTAGAAAAACACATATACAAAAAATTTAAATGATAGAGAAAAAAATCCAAAGTCCAATAATACTTAACCATATTATCAGTCAAAATCAGTTTTCTGAACACACCAAGAAAAAAATTTTTGGGTTGGAAAGAGGACAAGAAACAACAGCCAAAGATGACTGAGATGTTACTATATCACTTGAGAAGAGAGCCTGAGAACTTTGTTCCCCCAATGCCTGGGTTGAGTTTAGGAATAAACAATAGAATGAATGTATAAGCTTGGGGGTTTAGAACCATGAGAACTGAAATTTTCCCAGTGGAGCTTAGAGAGGTGTCAAGCTTTATATTGTCCAGCTTTTCTTCTTCCTCTAGCCAGGCCCTCTCCCCTCAGTATGGAGAAGAACCAAGGTGATGAGTGAGATCTGAGATATAGGTCTGAGATGACCACTTAGAATCTTTGCCCTGTTAATAAAGCCTAGAGAACAGCAGAGTGTTTTTCCATTGAGCTGAAAGTGGTACAGGTATGGCACAGGGAACCCCCAGACCAGAGGGGACTTAGGTCCAAGAGGAGGATGACGCAGCTGGTGTCTGCTGGGGTCAATGACAGAGACTAGGAGAGAATGTGCATGTCGTTATGGAGGTTAGCATGAATTAACTACTGAGAACACCCTGCTAACTATGTGATACCATCTTATATGCAGTCATGCTTCACTTAACAGGGACACGACCTGAGAAGTGCATGGTTAGGTGATTTGTTGTTATACACACATAATAGAGTGTTTATGCACAAGCCTATACAGTATAGCCTATGGCACACCTATGCTGTGTGCTGTAGTCTGTTGCTTCTAAGCTACACACCATGTTATACTGTACTGTAGGCAAATATAACACAGTGGTAAGTATTTGTGTACCTAAACATGGAAAAGTTACAGTAAAAATTCAGTATTACAGTCTAATGGGACCTGTGTCCTCTATGCCATTCTTTATCCACTGAAACATTGTTGCACGGGCATGACTATAATTTCAGCTTAGATATAACCTCAGCGTATGAGTAACTGAACTAATTGAGATTACCCTAAATTGGACCAGTCACTGAACTAATTGAGATTGCTTTAAATTGACCAAGCTTTTCCTACTTCCTAGCAAAATGACAGCACCTAATAGAAATTAAGTTTCTTTATAGAAAAAAATAAACTTAGTAATTTTGTACACCTAAGTTTGAGAGACTGAATGTCAGATCCTCTACACTCATTATAAAGAACAACATTCAAAGCAAAAGACCTAGTTTCCCTGCCAGCTAACCTAACTAAGCTATTTTTATTGCATCATTTAACCCTGCTATCCTACAACCTTATTTGAACTCACATGGAATCTTTCAGGCACTTGAGGGTACCCCACGCCTTGCCAGTTTATAGTTTGCTGCAA